CCTGGTGAGAAATGAGAAGGTAGAAGATGTGCTCGTGCTGTGTGGGAGTTGGTCTAGGAGATGTGTACTCAGTGTGCTCCTCCCGATAAAATATACTTCAGTCCTTGACATTTTATATATTCAGAATAGAAAAGGAGGACATAACAAATCTCTCCTGGGACATATTCATTACAATGGGAGCAGGCCACCTACTTCTTTTTGTCCTTGAAGAAAGGTGACAACAACTATTGAATTTTATTCTGATTTCATGTTACCACAGATTAAACCATTCCTTCTACCTTCGCTTTTTTAGTTTTCTAAAAACCAGTCTTATTCCCTGGATGCCACCCACATTCTGGGTGGTATAATCCCAGCCCAGATCCAGGTTCCCTCCAAGTCAGACAGCCAGGAATGTGAACCTAAATGCTAAGTGGATTATGAGTGCTTTGAAGTGGCAAAAAAATAAATTGGCCTTCCTCACCTCCTCGAAATCAAAGTCTTCCAAGTGAACTTTACCATTCCTTCCACTGATTTTAATACATCAATCAGCTTCCACATAAAAACCTAAATTCAGTAGCTATTTTGTTCAGGGATCTTGTTAGGAGATTTGTGAGTTGTCTAGGCTTTCCCAGAGATGTTTACTTGAGGGAGATCAAGATCCATCACTGTTAGACATCTCAGGCTGGTAAACCAATGTACAGAAACCACTCCTTTCCTGGGTTGGTTACCAGCTCATGGCACACCGTGAATCATGACCTGGCAGCAATAAATACTAGATGACAGAGTGCCTTGTGCTATTGAGAAGCACATATAAACTACAAGGAAACTTGAAACTGCATGAACAATGAATAAAATGGCATTTTGGTGAATTTCAGATGAGCTTGAGTAGGCTAGTCCCAGCTGCTCTAAGTACTTTTTAAAAAAGATTATTCTTAGCATTTCAAATACAGTGATACCCAGTGTGTCTACAATTCACTCTGAGCAGTAGTGTAGTGTTACCCTCCTCAGTGGCAGTCTGTCAAGATTGTGCCTATAATGCTCTAACCTTTCACCAAAAGCTTACAGAAACAAAACACTAAAATAGATGTTGAACACAGTGACCTGTGTCTCCCTTCTTTCTCCTACAATTTGCCTCTCACTATTTTAATTTCTAGATGCCCTACTGCCGATTCTCTCTACTATCTTTGGTTGTGTTAACTTCTTTCCCTTTCTTCAATCTCTCTCTCCATGTATTTTATTATTTTAAACATCTGCACATACCTGTCCTCAGGAATGCCCCTCATCCCAGAGGCTCCTTGGTGAACTGTTTTGTACCTTTGTACCTTCCAGTGCCCAGCTCAACTCCTCTTCTCAGTGATCCTCCTGTTGAATACACCCTCCTCCGTGCATTCACTCAGGGGAGCTTCTCTCTACCTCTATTAAAAATACTGCTTATACTGTTATAATTATTTGTCTGCACATTCCCACCCTTACTAAGCTATACTCCCTAGGACTGAGACATTGTTTGTTGTATTCCTTTCAAAAATTTCAGGGCCTGGCACACAGTAAGTATGTTTGCTAAGTAAATTAACCAGTGGTTGGGTAAATGGAGCATATTACTTAAAAACTATCATCTTGAGAGATGAATATACCTGTGATAAAGTAAGTTTAGTGAAATGTTAATATTCAAACCTAGATGGTGAGTGTTCATTGTAAAATTCTTTCAACTTGGCTATATATTTGAATTTTTAAAATTATTTTCATAAAAATAATGAGCATGGGGGGCATTATCTAAACCTTGGTAGTTCAATCAATTCTCACAATTCGATCTGTGGCTCATTTGATCCACAGAAACCCATCGAAAGACTGTATTTGGGATCCCAAGCAATCTCCCCTAGATTTTACAGCACCATCTTGAGGTGGAGCTAAACTGGCCATTTAGCAGCCTCCCACTGAGCACCCTAGGAACCTGACTTGGCTGGGTGAAGGGTCCTTTCCCGTTCTCATGCACCAAATTTCCTCCACTAGAAGATGTTCTCTCCAACTTTCTCTTATTAAGAGGCATTTCTTCTCTCTCTGATCTGATCCCCACAAACCATACCAGACCACTCCTACATTATTTTCATGCAAGAGCCTCTGCTCTTTTGAGATCCATGGTATCTGCCAATTCCATTTCTCAGTGGATTACAACTTGGGATTCAGCTCAAATGTTTTATCCACTTTTCCTGGGGTATGCCCTGGGTTTCTCCAACTACATGTTACAGCTGGCCCACAGACCCCTTAGTCTATGAAGCTTATCTTGGTACAAAAGGTTAAAGTCATGGTCCTCCATTTGAGCATCCTTTAGCACTTGTGAAAACTGCTTCATATAACACATTCTGACTTCCATTAAAATGTGTTTTGTGTGTGTGTGTGTGTGTGTGTGTGTGTGTGTGTGTTTGCAGTATTAGAGATAGAACCCAGAGTCAGGGATATGTACCCTGGGCAAATGCTCTACCACCAAAATTTATCACCAGCCCCTTTTAAAATTTTTTTTTTAAAATTAAACATTTTTTTTAACTTAAACATTTGCCCTTAATGACTATACATTTACAAATGTATTTAAATTTTCCATAAGGAATAGCAGAGTCTGGCCACAGAAAACATTCAATAATTAGCTGCTGATTAAATGAAGAAATAGTTTTATGTATTTAAAGCATTCCACATATGCTTTTGGGAAGTTAAAAAGAACACAAAACAAGTCATGACAGAAATATTGTTTTTACCCTAAATCTAATTTTATGAAAGAGATGGATCCTCTTTCTTTTAAATGAGTCAACACTTTAGGTAATAACAGTTCTAGCATTAGTCATACTTTGCAGGATTAATAATTTCCTAAAAATTTCCTCCTTTACTGAGAAGTCTGAAAATATTGTCTTAACTGCTTACTTCAGATTAATGTTAATAAAAAATGATTTAGCCCGACAGATGAAGTGACTACTTGGTGTTTCTCCAAAGAATCTAAGAAACTTCAGATTAACACCTACCAATTTTAAGAGAATTTCTTCATGGCAGAAATAAGTGTAGTTGCAAATGATATTCTGCCCACTCTGAAAACAGTATTGTATCTTTAGTTAGAAAGCTTATAATTACTCACAATAGAGACTCTTTTGGATAAATTACTAAAATTGCCTAAAGTGAAATTATAAATATATCTTCAACTTATATATTCCTGTAGGCATGTCAAAAGCCATGGTTTTCAGCAATCGCTAAGGCTTAATCTATTGAATTAGGCTGATGCCCATGCCAGAACTTGGTCTACTTTAAAACCAAAAAATATTTTCATGTCAAAGTATCCAAACCCAGAGTCTTGCACATGGTAGGCAAGCACTCTATTACTGAACTACACCTCAGCTCAAACTATTCTATTTTAAAGAGTAAACTGAGATAGAATGTAACTGTAGTGAGACTAACAGGCCCTTGGGCTATGCCAAATCTGGGTTCAAATCCTGTCTCTTGTAATATGGGCAAGTCACTATCCTTCTCTGTGCCTCAGTTTTCTCATGAGTAGTAACTCTCAGAAGATCATTGTCAGGATTATATAAGATAATATTCTCTCTCTCTCTCTCTCTCTCTCTCTCTCTCTCTCTCTCTCTCTCTCCAACACACACACATGCACACATATACATACAGAGTTCCATTTATGTATGTGAGATAAATAGGATAGATAACTAAGATAATACATATATTCACATATATACAGGGTGTAATATGATATCCATAGTAGACTAGTTTAATAAGATAGTCATATCTTTTCTCCCACTTAACCTTGTATCTTTTGATTCTTAAAAATAAGGAGACACACCTCAAACCATGTGATTGACAGTTAATACTTAGTCACATGGAAAAGGGATATCTTTGTGTAGATTTTTTTTTTTTTTTTTTGTAGTGGGGATTGAACCCTGGGGGCTCAATCACTAAGCCACATCCCTAGCCCTTTGTTTTTTTAGTATTAGGGCCTCACTAAATTGCTGAGGCTGGCTTTGAACTTGCAATCCTCCTGGCTCAGTGTCCGGAGCCACAGGCCTGCACCACTGCGCCCTGCTAGATTGGTTAAGACATAATTTTCCCAAGAAAACTACTTTTATTTATCATGGATTTTAAGCTCTTTTCAAGAGAGGGAAAGCTAGGTTTCTAGAATGTCCCTTATTACAGGAACCAACAAAAACAAATTAAGTAGATGGCATTAGAGTCAGAGTTATTGCAAATTAAAGTTATAATTTTTAATTAATACAGGATAAGACTTCATGCCTCTCTTTTTATATGAGGAGGCAGTCTAAAATTTTTTGACTATGCCACATTTGACTTCATATTCCTGATAATTTATGACAGTGCTTTATATATAGCAGCATTCAAGAAATTTTGAATGAGTTTCTAAATGAATAAAGAAAAATTTATTTTTAAAAAAAGATAAGAAAATTAAGGAGTTTGGCTGGTACCTGCCATTTATAAAGGGAAATTCCAATATATAAGAAAAGAAAGAAAAATTTCAGCGCTCAAAGACCTTTATCCTCTATTGTAAACATTTTTTTTTCATGTTTATACGCTGAGAAAATTAGCAAATATATGCTTTCATTATACATAAAAAAACTAGTAACAAGCATGAATTGAATCTTCATGATGATAAAGATTCACTGTCATATACCAAAAGAAACCAAAGTTTTCACTTTTAAAAATGACTCATTAACATCTATAGAATTCTGGGATAAATCAAACATAGACTGTTTGTTGTACATACCTTAGATATTATCTACTCTAATCTTTCATTTTATAGATAGGTAAACTGAGCACCAGAGAAGTTAAGTGACTTAACAAGGTCAAATAGTTGTGAAGCAGCCAAGTAAAAACTTACATTTCCTGTATATAATCTACTGCATATACAGCTTCCACAAGTACTCTCTATATACTATCCCTTAATTATGGGTTTATGGGGCTCTTCAACCCCTGGGAACAGCCCAGGTGAGTTCTTAAAGACCCCAGGCCCCTTTTCTATGGGAATTTACCTTCAGTATTGGAGATGGGAGTACTGTCACATTTGCTTTCACACTGCTGCATTGATGGAGGCCGAACAGTTTCCGAACAGTCACTAGATGCCTGTCCAGTATAGGAGAGACACTGCACAGTTCGCATTTGCTGTCCAAGGCCACACTGAGCAGAACACTAAATTCAAAGACACAGAGAAACAAAAAAATATTGATTTCAACAAATTTCAGGAGGTATAAAAGACTCTATTTTCAAATATCAAAACCACACGTGTGTGTGTGTGTGTGTGTGTGTGTGTGTGTGAGAGAGAGAGAGAGAGAGAGAGAGAGAGAGTCAGAGAGAGAGAGAGAGAATATTATCTTATATAATCCTGACAATGATCTTCTGAGAGTTACTACTCGTGAGTAAACTGAGGGCTGGGGCTGTAGCTCAGTTGTGGAGTGCTTATCTCACAAGTATGAGGCACTGCGTTCAATCCATATATATATATATATATATATATATATATATATATATATATATAAACCACACTGATATTTCATCTTACTCCAGTTAGAATGGCAGCCATCGAGAATACCATCAATCCCAGAAGCTTGGGAGGCTGAGACAGGAGGATCATGAGTTCAAAGCCAGCCTCAGTTGCTTAGGGCCTCAACCTTTATTTAGACCCTGTCTCTAAATAAAATACACACACACAAAAAAAGGGCTGGGGATGTGGTTCAGTGGTTAAGTGCTCCTGAGTTAAATCTATGGTACAAAAAAAAAAAAGAAAAAAAGAAAGAAAGAAAAAATATCATCAACAATAAATGCTGGAGAGGATGTGGAGAAAAAAAAGAACTCTTTTTTTTTCTTTTTATACTGTTGGTGGGATTGTAAATCAATACAATCACTAAGGAATCAGTATGGAAGTTCCTCAAAAGACTAGGCATGGAACCACCATTTGACTCAGCTATACCACTCTTGGCATTGATCCTAAAGGATTAAAATCATTATACTGTAGTGATACATATACACCCATGCTTATAGAAGCACAATTCACAATAGCCAAACTATGGGACCAGTCTAGGTGTCTATCAATGGATGAATGGATGATTAAAAGTGATAAATATGTACTACAGAGTTTTATTCAGTCATAAAGAAGAATGAAATTATGTCATTTGTAGGAAAATGGATGGAACTTGAGAACATACTGTTAAGTGAAACAAGCCAAATTCAGAAAGTAAACGGTCATATTTTCTCTCATATGTGGAAGCTAGTGAGGGAAAAATAAAAGAAAGGTGAAGGGGAAATCTCTTGATAAGCCAAGGAAGATCAGTAGAGCAGAGAAAACTTTCAAATGTCCTTTGTACAACCATGCATTACAACAAAAAATATATAAAGAAGGAAATGCCTACCTAATTTAAAATAAAAATCATGAGTACATGTCTACAAAGATTATTTAATATCAATTAGGTATTGTGAAGTTTTCATGCACCTACAGTGAAACATATTTTAACACTAAATTGCATATAATGTTTAAACTCATCAGATGCATTCCATCTGAGCATTTCGTAAATTAAACCAAATATCTCTACAGATATGCAAAGTTTTATTTATTTTCCAATCATGTTTTTTCCCTTAGGGCTGAGCACAGAATAAGTGTCATTAGTTACCTTAATGGGTACTAAAAATCTTTACCTTTTCTCAATTGATATAAAAAAGTGTATAGGTACTGCTGTGCTCCAGTAATGTGGAATTTGGAGAAGAATTTTCAGAACTACTACTGTGAAACTGGGATCAAACCCAGGGTTTTACACATGCTAGGCAAGTGCTCTACCACTGAGCTATATCCACAGTCCTAAAATGCTATTTTTAATAACTGAGGGCAGACTCAGAGCACAAACAAAAGCATACTGATATAGTTTTATGCTATTATGATTCATTTGAGTCTCAGATATTAGAAGATAACTAGCTATAAGGCCAATTATGATACCATAGGATAAAGGAATTGACTGGCTAAGAAATTTACTTTCTATGATATCATGTTTTAATGTAACAATAAATTTTCTCTCTGATATTTAGAAGAATAATACTTAATTTTCATTCTATCCAAATATACCAACTTGGTATTTTTTAATTAAACAAAGTTAATTGGATGTATTTCTCATGTTCAACTTGATGCTTTGGGTCACTGGGATTGTTGGCATGTACCACTGCACTTGGCTCATACTTTGATTACTGTGTTGCTACTCATCTCTCAAGTGTTTTTAATGACTAAAACAAGGATCTTGGGTTTGTGTCTCAAGGTGCTGCTTCAGCAGGAGCCCATACTCCAACTGCCTTACCTGGCCCCAGTCTCCTGTCACCCAGCGAGGAGGAGGGCAGCGGCCCAAACTGCAGCGGATGCGGACAGGAGGTTTGCTTTCCTCTGGACATTGTGCAGCTGGGAATGTTTTAGAAAGGTCACTGCTCTTACACAGAACAATCCGATGCTTGAATCCTGGACCACATTTTGGAGTACACTAGAAATAAAATAAATATTAATGAATAGCAATAGATTAAAGACAGGAGAATTTGAGGAAAGTCTTTCTTGAAGTAAATGCGTATATTTTACAATATGTATACCCACTGATTCTAGGCAAAAATCTCTCAGAAACGAAATTCCTTAAAAGCTGTTTAAGCAAAAGTACTTTTTTAGTTTTTCCCTAAGGTCTTTAAGAGATAAATCCAATGTTTGCTTTTCTTGGCTAACTTATTTTCTTCTTTGCTTAGTGATAGGTTATTTTCTCCATTCCTCCCTATCCCCAGCCTCATTGAGCTGAGATAAGATTCTGTTAATTTTTGGAATGTAGAGTTCTTGATTTCCTATTTGCTGGGTGTAGTCTTCTAAAAAGAATTTTTATGTTATTAATAGACCACAAGACTTGTCTCTGTGAAGCTAGTTGGGGCTGGTGTAGATCAACTACAGTTATCATGTGACTGCTAAGAATACAGGTCACAGGTGAAGGTTTATTGCACAGAAAATCTTTGGAATTTCCCTGTTCATCTGTTACAAACATAGCATATTAGACTGTTCTTCAGAATTGGGTTTGTTTGTTTTCCATATTGAGGAAAGGATGCTTCTCTCTATGGCATACATCCTATTATTTGCCTTATCTCCAGGTGCTTTTGTGGACCACCTATTTAATGTGGTGGCTGACTGAAGTCATCCAGCTTTCACTGCCACATGTCTGGATGCTTTCTTGAAATCTGTATTTCCTCTCAGTCAAGTGAGGGCCTTATCCACAATACTTGGAAGCACTGGTTATGCATGTTTCCTTCAAAATGCATTTCCTAATCTCTTACATGAACTATAAAAGAAGGGGAGGAGATAAAAATGTATGAGACAGTCTCTACCTTTAAGGAGCTCAGAGTCATAGTTGGGAGAGGGACACATGAACACAAGGCTAATGTTAAGTACTGTAACAGTAGATGTAGAGCATTCTTGTGTACCTCATCACCACTGGCCTGTTTCATAATTATTTATTTACATGTCTTCTTATCTCTACCATACTATAAGCTCCTGAAAAATTACTGCACTTCTGTTTTATCTTTATACACACACTCACACACCTGACCCTAGGATCTGGCTGAAGGCTTTCAGTAAGCACCCAATAAAGAAACACTGTCCTTTATCTGGAGAGATGATAGTTTTAGACATTAGTTTTAATGTCTTAGTGAACACTGTACACACTTTGGAGCAGTTTTATTAGTGGTAATCTTTGAACCTGGTATGTATCATAGAAAGGGGGAAAATATTCTTGTTTTTCAGGTGAAAATTAAGGATCCTATACAATCTTTTTACCACAATGAATGCAGTAAGAGAATGCATTTCCTTAACACAGAAAAAGAAAAAAAAATCATTAAGGTTTTTAATTTTTTTTTTTGTAATGGGTACTGAACCCAGGACCTTGTGCATGCTAGACAAGAGTTCTTCCACTGAACTACATCCCCAGCCCCTGCTAGGATACCTTTTGAAGGATGATAACATACAGTTATTTCTAACGTATAGCTCCAGAAGAAGTGATAGTTAGGGAAATTTCTCAAGAGAGAAATTCCTGATCCCTGTCATTGCTTTTCACAGCAAAATCAACATGCTCACAGGCTGCTGCAGCCTCACACTATTCATATAATCAGTCATGAAGTTTTATTGACCCATCCTAAATCTCTCACATCTGCTGATTTCCTTGATCTCCACTGCCACTAATCTTACTTCAAATATTAATTTCCCACATGAAAATTTGCAACTACTTTCTAATAGTTCTTCTATTTCTTGCTCTTGCCTCACTCCAATTCACTTTCTGAATATCAGAGGGACCTTTCTAAAGCACAACTCTGATAATACTGTCTTTTGATTCTAAAAATTATTCAATGCCTTCTATTGATATCTGCAGTCTTCACTAGTGTTAAACCAGGGCCAGGCACAAAGCTAATACTGTTGCTGCTATAGCAGCTATGACAGCTGCTACTTACTACTAACAGCCCCTATCCTTTAATAAACACTGTATGTACCAAGTGTTGTGCTGAGTGATACTTACAAAACTATGAGATGGCAATTATGATTATATTTGTCAGATAAGGAAACAAACTTAAGAGTAATTGACTGATAGAAAATTGAACAGATAGTAAGTGGCAAAATTATTCTAATGCTATTTCTTACTCTAAGTTTTTCTTGGATGTTAGGCCCTATGCTATGTACTTCACATATATTGTCTAATTTAATCTTCATGATTAACTATCACTTTATATTTCAAGTAATGAAAACATTCAATAATTTCTATGGAGTGAATAAAGCCCCGATCCAAGTCTTCAGTTTGCCCCATTCATATCTAGTACTCTTTACTTTATGCCACAATTCCTCCATCATCCAAGCCAAAGCCTTAGAAAATTTCTGCTACTTTATTAATGTATAAAATAATCATTGGAAATAATAAATCTACTACCTTATATGCCATTAGAGCTTCACAGCTCACAAAATACTGTCTAATACTTCATTAAACAAGTTTTTTAGAATTATCACAGATAAGGAAAGCTTATGTAATATAATGAAGGAATCAACAGATTACAAATGGTAGAGCTAGAACTAACTGCTAGGCCTTCTGACTTTTCCCTTAGGGCCTATATATTATGCATTCTTCTGTTTTTATTGTATGCATAAGCTGCTTCTAGTACTGGCAGAAATAAATTCAGGAGAACACATAACATATATTAGTTCATTTATATGAAAAATAAATTGAGGGGCTAGGGTTGTGGCTCAGTGGTAGAGCACTCACCTAGCTAGTGTGAGGCACTGGTTTTGATCCTCAGCACTACATAAAAATAAATCAATAAAATATAAGTATTGTTTCCAATTAAAACTAAAAATAAATAAATAAATAAATAAAAATTGAGGTGAAGTATAAATGGATAGAAAGACCCTTCATTCCTTAAGGAGATAGGCAGAAAACACAAAGAATGTATAGAGACTCAGTCTTTTTTTAAACTGTGAGGCTGTAATTAGTTTCTAACTTGGGAATATGCATTGAAAACTGCACTTGTGCCACTCTCCCTGCCCCCTCCACATCTGAAAATTATATGTATGCATATTGAAGGCTGAGACATACGTCTTTTGCTTACTCTATTTTTTTTTTCTGGTAGCAAGAATCTTCTGCTATTGTTTTAAGAATGTAATAATACCTAGCAGTCTTTCCTATGAGCATATGCCAAGTTCTGTTTACAATTAAGGGGGGCAGACAATGCAGACAGGCAATTCATTCATCTTTGTTTGAGAAGTCCCCAGGAAACCAAAACCAAAACAAAACAAATAAGACTGATAATAAGAAGAGAAAGTAGCACTAATATTTATTAAGCCCTTTTCAGGTAATGGTCTAGTTAATCCTCACAGAAACCTCAGGAAGTAAGTACTGTTATCATGCCTATTATGTTAAAGGTGAGAAAACTGAAGCACTGAGAAATATGGATCTATCCAGATGGCAATTTCCTAATAGAATAAAGCTCCAAATACAAATGTCAAAAGACACAAACCATCTGTAGGAAATGTGCAGTTATGTGTAAAACTAATCATATAATGATATATTTTACTCAGGCAAGAATACAAAATTATATGCAAAAATTGACTTAATAAGCCAAGGCTATTCACATCCTATAGCAGCAGAAGTAGAGAAATAATCAACTGCATTCTCAAAATAGTGAATGGCTGAAAACTGCAGTAATTTCCCCTTTATCTGCAGTTTTGCTTTCTGTGGTTTCATAGTATAAAAATATTAAATGGAAAATTCCAGAAATAAACAATTTATAAGTTTTAAATTGCACATCATTTTGAGTATTGTGATGAGTATTATTTTGTGCAGTTCTGCCAGGAACATGAATCATCCCTTTGTTCAGTGTATCCACACTGTATATGCTACACTCCATCCCCGCTTAGTAGCCACCTTGGTTTTCATATTGATTGTCACCATAACACAAGTGCTTCTGTTCAAGTGACTTTTATTTTTCTGAATGGCCCCAAAGTGCAAGAGTAGTGTTACAGGCAATTTGAATATGCCAAAGGGCAGCAGTGAAGTGCTTCCTTTAATTGAAAAGATGAATACTTTAAATATAAGGAAAGAAAAAATATCATATACTGAGCTTGCTACAATTTACAGAAGAATGAATCTTCTGAGTGCACCTTCTGAGTGCATGTCTTCATTATTTGAAATATAAAGTGATAGTTAATCATGAAGATTAAATTAGACAATATCTGTGAAGTACACAGCATAGGGTCTAACATCCAAGAAAAACTTAGAGTTCAGAATCTGTAAAACTGTGAAGAAAAAGAAATTTGTGCAAGTTTTGCTGTTGCACTTCAAATTACAAAACTTGGCCACAGTGTGTGACAAAGTTCTTAGTTAAGATGAAAAAGGCATTGTATCTGAGGATGAACATAAAATATGGTTCAAATGCAGTCAGCTATATGAAGACTTAATCAAGAGATCCTCCGAAATGAATGAGACCAAGCCATTTACTACAAGTAAGGGATGGTTATAGATTGAAGACTTTCAAGTTTGTATTGAAAAGTACAAAAATTACTGGAGAGGTTACAACTACCAATGAAGAAGTTGTTGCCACACCTCCAGCAGAGTTAAAGACATTGATTAAGGAGTAAGTATACTATCTATAACAAGTCTTAAATTATGAGGAAATCAGGCTCTTCTGGAAGAAGATACTCTATAGAACCTGCATTCAGAAAAGTACAAAAGAGGCAGTGGGGCACAAACACATGGAATGACAGAATAATTTTAGTATTATGTGGCAGTGCTACAGGGCATATGATAAAGCCAGGTATAGTATACAGAACGAAGAACCATGTGCTCTCAAAAACAAAAACCATACTTTGAGAGAGATGACTTTCATATAATTATTTTTTTTTAGTACTGGGAGTCCAACAAGCCTCACACACTAGGCAATCACTCTACCACTGAGCTACACTCACTCCCAGCCCATA